TGAATTATATGCATATTTATTTTATGCTGTTCTGCAAGATACAAATCTAATGCGATAGTTTTTCAAAAGTTTTTCCATATATGCACGATTACCTTCAGCTCCAATAGACTTATTTGACACTATAAAACAACATTATAAAGATTAAGTTAGCTTATGGTCTGTTTTACAGGCAGGTGTAGCGGTTTACGCTGCACTCCAATTTTAAATTTAAAATCGTATTATGAAAAAACTAAAAGAAAAAATAACATAAATAGAACTGATTTAGGGGAAACTACAAGCATTTAAAATGACGTAATATTATCAATAATATAGTCACTATTATTTAAACCACGCAATTTGCAAAAGAAAATCGTAAGAATTTTATTTTCGCATTCGTAGAATTCGTTTTTAACTGATTTGGTACAGAAAGCCACAAATATACGAAAAAATTATGAGTTTGTACTTTTTTAATTAGCTAAACAGATCATGATTTTATTATTATTAATAAAGTGCAATAGTTAGTTTCTGAGAAATAAGGGGGTGTCACTTTAGAAGACCTATGTCAATATCGACGACTTTCCTCTAACTTTACATAAGTCTCAAGGTTTCATAGATCCTTATGTGAAAGAAGACTTTTTCTTGAAGACGTTCTCAAGAAATTAACAAATGAAAATTCTACAAATTCTTATACATTGTACAAACTATATTCTGAGCATCTCTTGGTGGATTTTTTATTGCCAAAGGCATTGAATATGTCTAATAATATTCTTAAGGAAGAAGATTTGAAGAATTGCAATGAAAGAGACACGGTCCTCGACTTTCTGGACTTAATGGTTTATATATTGTTATGCGAAACCATTTCTTAACAAAGTAGAAATTTGCTTACGAAATCTTCGTATTAAACAATCAACGACAAGCTCAAAATCAGTAGTATTACTGAATCAACCGAAAATCACAAACCCTAAATAAACACCACTGAACCAAGCGAAAATCACAAATCCGAGATTAATACTATTGAACGAACTGAAGATCACAAATCTACAAACCCAAAATCAATACCACTGAATCAACCGAAGACCACAAACTCGAAATCAATATCACTGAACCAACCAACGACCACAAACCTGAGATCAATACCACCACTGAACCAACTGAAAATCACAGATTTTCTTTATCTTTAACAGTCTTGAAAAATTGAATAAGTTGTATATTCATATAGCGCTTCTTATTTCCTCCAAGATTTAATGAAATTATACATTGAAAATACAAGTTATAGCGCCATTAGCTATAACAGCTGTTCTCGAAATGCCCCTGGTAGATTTATTGTTGCCAGAAGGATTTTATATGTCTAACGAATCTTTGAAGAAGCAAAAATATTCGGAAGAGTTGAAGAATCCATGCAATAAAGCAAGAACGATATTAGTCCAGACGTATCGCTTATTCTTGTGTAGATCTGTTTAAATCTAACAAATGTACAAAGTTACGATACATATGTACAATAATATAAAAGCTTGCTTGCAATACCTGGAGCTTCATATTGAACAACCAACGATACAAAAATTGATCGAATCCAATATCGATCACGAAATCACGGCATCCACGTTAAAGGATAATTCAAAATTAAAAATAATTCTAGAAGTTGTACAAACTGAACATGAAAATAAAAATGAGACTACCATAGTACCCTTCCAAATATTAGGAATACCTATTCTCATTAGAGAAGGCAGAAGGTAATATTTCCAATGAGTCATTAATAACAAATTTTCAAACTGTCTTATTAATCCTTTTTTGAAGAAAGAAAAAAAAGAGTTTTAATTATAGTTTTCTTATTTGGTTTTTTTCTTTATAAAGGAAGAAAGGAGCAAAAGCGTATATAGCGAGCGTGTAATGCGTATATAGCACACAATCAGCCAAACCCAGAACCAAATGTTGACAGCATCTTCATTAAAATTGTCTTTCTCTACTGTTCATTTTTATCAATATAAATTAACTTTAATAGAATATAGTCCCGTTAGTTCCGATAGCATACATTTATTCACATCAGCCGATGCCTATAAATTTTCCAGTATACACCACCAATTAGAAAATTTTATATTAAATTGGTCAATCAGCGATGTGAGCAATAAAATTGTTTTCAACTTTAACCTTGATTTAACTTACTCTTTTTCTAGTTTTAAGAATTTAAAATAGAAAAAGTTAAAGCCTAATTCAAGTATATATAGCACAATTTCTTTTTTGTCTCCTTTTTTTAGTCGATTCCTAAATACAAATAACTTCATATGTACATTTCTAAAGCGGCAAAATTATTTTTGCACATGGATGGCAAACTCTTATTATTACATGCTTCTACAAAAGAGACTAAAATCTAGAATTAAAACATGTAACTGCAATATGTTTGATTAGTTGGAAATCTTTAGTGCTTTTTTATTCTAGACAAACTTTAAGTTTATACTTTTTATTATTCCGTACAATTAATATCTCTTATGATACCAAAATCTTTATATCAAAATCTTTGTGCAATAAAATAAAAATAATTTTTATAATTCTAGATTTTTTGTTTGTTGATTTTATATTCAAGAAAGCATGCCTTTTACTACTTCACAAAATAATTAATAACATATGTTAGATAAAAGACCAAGTTCAGTTTTAATTGGAATCCCAGTTTTAATCGGTGCCGTTTTTGCAATTTGCTAATTAACTTTGTTTACATTATCTTTTTCAGATGAGAAGTTTAAACTTCAAAACATGTTAATCATAATGTAGAATATATTATTGAAGTCCTTTGTCAGAAGTTCAGAAGTCGAGAGATTTAGCTGGCTATCAATATCTTCTATAATAAAAACCATATATTAATAATAAAAACATATATTTAAAGAAATCTTTATTGAGTTATATGTAAAGTATGATAAAATAGTACGCGAAAATATTTTAACATATAAGTAATTTAACAATGTTGCAATATATGTATCTTTTTTAATTTAAATGCACTGATTACATGGTTTTCGGTATCGCGTTTCGCAACATAATAAATGAAGATATTTAAAATGTAAATAAGGATATAAATATAAACTTTTTTAACTTTTTCAAAATCTCATAATTATAACTTCTTAATAACAGTGCAACTATAAATCTGTTTAATTTAATGACTAATTTAGTCAAAATGATTAGTTCAAATGAATAGCAATATTCATTCATTTAGCCGAAATTCCTATCACGTTCGGTGCTTTATGTATAACGGCGGTTTTCTTAGCACGTGTGTCGTTTATAACAGCTCGTACTCGAATCAGGGATGCACCGTAAGATATCTCACGTTTCCTTTATTGCGCATCATCGGTCATTCTCGCCTTCATCGACTCTCCTGTGAACCTGTAAATGGCCTTATATTTTTCTCAGAACTATCCGATATATGTTCTCTTCTGATCGTAGTGTTCCACAGATCACCGCGAATTTCATAGTCTGCCATCTTCAACACTGTTTCTTATAGAATTTCCGATATCTCATCATACATATTCTAATATTACTTTCAAATGCACTCGTTCCCTTACTATTGTTATTTTTGGTAAGGTTATGAAATTAAAAGATAAAAGTAGAACATAATTAAGAACACAATGTAATTATACATGCATTTCTTGGTATAAGATATTATTCAAGGCATATATTATTATATAAATATTTTTATAATTAGATATACGAGGATCGTTTGAAAAGTTTTGAGCCTAACATAGAAACAAGTATTTTTTCGGTCAAATTCAGTTTTATTTTTCAACATAGTCTCCTTTTAAGTCGATACACTTTTCCCAGCGATGCTCTCATCCCTTTAAACCATTCAAATAATAGTTGGCGTCTTGCTCTGCAAAATAGGCTTCTACAGATGTAATCTACTGTTTTGACTGTTCCTTCGTCTTAGAAGTGAAGAAGTAGTGGATCCAAGTTTCATCAACAGTTATTAATCGACGCAAAAAATCCGACTCGTTTCGCTTAAACCGCTCTAACCGAGCTTTGGAAATGTATATTCGATTTTTTCCATTTTTACAAAATCACTGATATCAACTGGCATAAATGACTGTCAAACAACAACTGAGCGTCCACAATGACTACAATTTTCACAGGTATCTTCCAAAGCATGTACGATTGTAGTACTAGAATGGTTTTGAGTAATGCCATCTTCATGTTGAGGCTCAAAACTTTTCAAACGACCCTCGTATATATATTTTTTTTTCACATTAATAAGCAAATAGAACTCCTGATAATTAAAATGGAAAGAGAGAAATAGTTGGCTTTACATAATCGGCAGGTAAATGATACGCAAATATATATATATAATATAAAAATAAATATATAATTCAATTTAAAAATATACATAGATGTTTCAATTATATTTTTTGGTCATTTTCAGTATGTAATAAAAAGACTATGAAGCATTGATCTGCATTATATACATCATGTTACAGTCTAAGTGTGAGAGTACCCAATCACAGTCTAAAAGTAAGTATAAATCTGTTACCTAATACAGTTTTAAAGTTTGATGAGCTAAACTGTGTTAAACTGTGTGTATCTTGAATATCATTTAAAGTCAAGTTTGGTAACTCACAAATAATTTAAAATGTATGTGATGAGAATTTCATCTTTAGAACGCAGAAACATCGCATTGCAAATAAATTTTATTAAATTATATATTTATTTTTACATTAATCGCGCATCATTTATCGCACTGACTCCTTAAAGCCTACTTTTTTTCTTTCATTTTTATATGTTTCCATTTTTTTACATATATATATCTTTTAAATACAAAATTAATTCGTAAAGCATGATTGACAAAAAATCAATAATATTAAGATATTTAGCTTTAATATTTCCCAATTTTTTTTATTATGATGACGAGGATAATTTTACATTAGGATTTATACAAGATTATTTTATTATTATTATAAAATTTGATACATAATATTAAAGGTATAATATTGATTTATTATTTTTATTAATATTGCTATCAAAAGTATTGTTATATTAAACAACGGCAGAACTAACAATTACATTATTGCATTACTTTTGCTTTTTATTACCATCTATTACAATGCTGAAAAATTTCTCACTGCTTAATGCTAAAGAAACTTTTTATTTTTAATTACGTCTCACTTTGCAGTCTTTCGTTAAATTATGTACGCTCAATCATTCTTTCAACTTATGTCAATCTTTGCGAAATGTATATACTCTTCAATTCTTATATATACTTATATGTATATAAATTTTGTATTACGTGTGTTATTTTTATTGTTCCTTTTGACATTATGGATTTATCAATGATATTCTCGATAAAAATGATAAAATAATAAAACTGAATAAGAGTATCTTTTTATCTAATATCACCAGGCTTTAGACATGATTGTTAATGATCATTTAAATTCGTCAATTTTCACAACATGTGTACGTCAAATTATGTCGATTTTGGCATCACTCGACTTTGTTTAAAAAAATCATACATAGGAAATTCGTACGTTGCTTTTGAAAAACCATCTATCATGAAGGGGTAAAGCCGGCGGATTTCGTTCTTCTTATCGGAGAGATCTTCATCGGTGCACCAAGGTAGAACAAATGGCAATCTGCAAAATGGAATAAATATCTTCTTAGTTCTCTCTTACTATACTCTGTTTCTTGCACTTTCTCGTATTAGCACTATGTAAGCTGATTACATATCACTACATTATGTTTCGCGTTATCATTAAGATGCATAAAACGTAATTATTTATAAATATGCTACTATTTATTTGCGGTATATTCATTTATTCTTACCTCGGCGGTATGCATCTTTGTATTTCATATATTATAGTTTTTACAAATGGATGGTTTCGAAATTTTTTTGCTCCTGGGACATGCATCGATGGGCGTGATGTAAAGTACATTTTATTACTCTCCATTAACTTGCGCTTTTTATTTTCTGATAGTTTGTGCTCTGAGTTCCAAAGATTTTCTTTGGATTTATAACTGTATAAACTGTAAATTATAGATCAAAGTTTTCTTTAATACAACTTTTAAAAATATGCAACTTTTCTAATCATAAAATTTGTAATAAATTTGTAATGAAGCTTTTATTAATGAAAAATAAATAATAGAGACCATTATTTGTCAACATTTATTAATTTTTTACATTTCAGTATTCTTATATTAAAATTTTAATACTCTTGGTGTTTTTAACTAAAAGAAAGGTGTATTTACAATTAATCAGGAGGTTTCAGTGTATTTAATTATACTCTTTTCTCAACCTTAATTGAGAAAAATATAATGAATATTTCTTTAGATAAAGCAGGAAGAACAAGAAAAAAGTAATTCGTCGATGTATTTATAAAAATTGGAAAATACAAATAGTGAATTCTAACTCTTCCAACTTTCCGTGACTTACCTGATGAATTTACAAAAATCTAAATTCGGTGGTATGTAAACACACGTGTAAGGCGTAACAGATGCGGCTGAATCGTTTATGGACGTCATTATGTTATTATTCCTTGAGAGTTCCATATCTGAACCAGTAATTGGATATGTATTTCCCATAGCGACAAATAATTTCAGGATAAAGAGAAATAAAAACGATTCCAACAAAGCGCCCCACATGATTGTTGAAAGGTCTTAGTCACACAAATACACGTTGTAATACTGAAAAATGATATAAACAAATATTCATAATCTGCCATAAATATTTTATGAAATTTTGGTAATTTTAATCAAATATACAAGAACGGATTTGTGATATTAGTGAAATTTTTTAATTCTATTACTAATCCGGTTCTATTTCTCATCCCAATAAACGATCCATGATATTTCCAGTTTGCATAGTTGTTGCTTACACAGATTGCAATTCCTGTTCATTATAAAGTGTTGAAGAGAAATATATGAAATTCATTTCGAATGTTCATCCGCGGGCAAAATTGCGCGTCACGTAACTCATCAGGTATAAATACCCTAAATACCTATCGCATTATAATGGATTATTAATTCCAGCAATTAAATGTCGACGCATCGCATCCTGGTTAAATAAAGACATCGCTGAAGCGCGTTTGTTCGAATATACTATAATAACAACGAAGCTAGGATAGAATAGAACTCTTAACAACGATAATATTAACTGCGCGTTATCGCGCGTAAAGTAATGCGAGAGTTGAAAACGAAGAAAATACATGAAAAACAAAGTGATCCTTTGTCCGTCGATCACGAGAATGACTTGAGAGCTTTATGAAATGAGAGGGAGCTTCTCCTCTTCTTCATTTTCATTACATCCTGTTTATTTTATATTTAAGCATGCCCCACCCTTTCATTATGCATCCTGTCGTTTTTACTGTAGTGTAGAATTATTATTGCAAACTATACGTTGGAAGATAATGCCTGCGCGATGGTATTAAATGAAGATCGCAATTATGCAGACCGGAAAATTGCTCTGGTCCTCTTCAAATGCATTAAAGGAGCGCATTAGGATGCCTTAGTTTCGTAATAGCATTAAATGTATCTTTAAGCAAACGGTGCAATTCACTCGTGCAAATCGTTAGACAATTTTAACGAAAGATTCCTATCCTACATATATATATAATTATTTATATTCTTGGGGAGTGTTTACAAGATTGACAATTAAATTTAAAAGATTAAAAATTAAATGTTTTTATCGCGAATATTTTTTTGTACGATACTATACTAAATAGTAATATAGAAATAAGCTTTATTTTAGAAGGATTATTTTATTTTGTAAAATCATTTTTCAGACACAATAAAGCATAACACTAGTTTACAGTAAAAAATTATTTTGGACCGGACTACGTGTCTCTTATAGATTTTTGGATATTGAAAACGGTGCCGCAAGCAAAAAAATTATAGTTTTAAAAAAACTGCTTTTTTCAAATTGTTGGAAAAAAAACCGGAAAAATTTCAGTTTTTTTCCGAAAAATTGGGTTTTTTGGAAAAATTGCTACTTTTGCTATGTAAAAGACATAATAAGTAACTTCTAAATTCCTTTATAAAATTAATGCGATCTATGAAATTATGTAGCATTATTTTTATTAAAATTTTTTAGTTATCCTTCTATTTTTATATAAAACCTAATCTAACCTTCCTTTAGTACATGGGAAAACTTAAGTAGATCTTTAACTCTAGTTTGCCACACTCCGGTCTAATGAACTCCTGAAGTGTTTCTTTATAGTTTATTTCTTTTCAAATATTTTGTTACGAATTCAGTTTAAATCCAAATTATTTTCTAGACCTACTATTATCATATAAACATGATATTTGGATTCTATATTTTTAATTCTTACATTAATGGTGCAATAGTGTATGTTTTATATGTTTTATTGAATACATTATCTGCGACCTCAATCTTTTATACAATTTTAAAATTTGTGTTAACTTATTCCGCTGTGTATTCTATACGCAATTATTTTCTTTACGGAAAAAACCGAGAAGCAAACGTGGTAGGTTTTACGAGCACGCGTGAATTTTTCCAAAATGAATTTTTCTACCTTTGGGAAAAAAACTGAAAAAATCCGCGGAAAAATTGAGTTTTTTTCCGATCCTTTAAAACTATAGAAAAAATTCTAGCACGTCAGATTTCCGAGGTAATTGAGGTTTAATATGTAAAAAATGTTTTTTTTGCAATATTTGACATTTTTTTATAAAGAAAATGAACATTATCTTTAAATTTCGATCAAAATTCACGAATTGTTCATCCCCTCTAAAATGCATTTTTTCTTATTTCAATATCTTACTTTTTAGCTATGTTATGAAGGATTAAAGATAGGAACTATTTCGGGAAGTTATTATATAGGGACTCCGACAGCGTCATATGTGTATGTGCGGATTAATTTTTTAAGGTCACATTTTGATAACAGTACCTTAACACTTATAGACAGAGAGAGAGAGAGAGAGAATTGTTTCATAAAAAAGATATGTAGTTGCATATTATAAATTTCGTATTTTTTTTTTAAAGCAATTATGTATTTTCATTACACCAGTGGATTAGTCTCATAATTCTGTGCATAAAAGTGTTAAGATACAGTTATCAAAATGTGACCTTAAAAAATTAATCCGCAATGCACATATGATGCTGCCGGAGTCCCCATATAATAACTCCCCGAAATAGTTCCTATCTTAATCCTTCATAACATGGCTAAAAAGTCAGGTGTTGAAATAAAAAAAAAATGCATTTTAGAGGAGATGAACAATACATTCATGACTTCTGATCAAAATTTCAACTTTTGATAACATTCACCTTCTTTATAAAAAAAATGTAAAATATATCGCCAAAAAAAAACATTTTTTACATATTAAACCTCAATTATCTTGGAAATCTGATGAGCCAGAATTTTTTCGCTTGCGACATCATTTTCAACATCCAAAAATGTATAAGAGACACGTAGTCCGGTCCAAAGTAATTGAAAAACAATTTTTTTTATAAACTGTGTAATTGTTATTCACAAACCATAAAAATCTGCCTAATCATTAAAATTAGTGGTCTGTACCTTTTATTCATTAAAAATTTCTAAAATTTCTTTAATTGTTAAAATGTTTGCTAACGATGTGCACCTATGATATCAATGGACGTAATGGTCGACGAATATCTCCTCGATATATAGATATATAGATATCGAAAACAAGTTGCACCTGGAGAGACAATAGGATGATCATCGCGGAATGATATCAATAATGGTGTTGTTATCGCAAGGTTTCAGATAACATAATCGGTCTATTTATTAATCAATCTGCTACAGCTCACAATTCTTACTTCCGACTTCGTAGTTCGAATATTGCGTCGAGAAACGGCACGCACGCACCATCAACACTCGCGGGATCCTTCAACCATAATAAGTAGCTGCGCACAATCAAAGGAAGAATTTCAAGAAATCATGTACTGTGGCTATCAGAAATTATGTACTGTGGAATACATAGTTTCTAATAAATTGAAACTTTTATCCTCTATTCCCTGTTCCCTTTTATTGCACTGTAAAAAGTGTAGTATTTAAAATGTTTACGTTTAAAACATCTTTGCAAAACAGATGTTCAATAATAAAAGATATGTCAATTTTAATCGTTTTAGTGTTTTAAATCCAAACACATAGTGTTTTGTTTATTGAAAAAGCTTAAAACATCTTCAAGTAAAATGGAGACTCTTAAAAAATGGAGACAAGAATAAAATATTTTAATATTTTAAAATTGACTTTTTTTTGTGCGCGGCTCTTAATCTCATTGATGGGAATTCGATTGGAAGCACTAGTGCGCACTGGTGCATATTAAAGCCGTTGTACACTGATTTAATTTGAGTATAAAAATGAAATGCAAATATTTTGTATTATAAAATACACATTTTATCTAATAATACAATAAAATATGATTTATTGAGTATTTCACAATTTAATCGATTTCTATGTTTATTTATAAACATATCTTTACGTTATTTTGTGTACGACGGCTTTAATGTGCATCAGTGCGTACTGAGTGCGTCCAATCGAATTCGCTATGAGATTTTTGATCTCAGAGACCAATCACGCACCAATGTCAGCATTCTCTCTTTCTCTTTCTCTCTCTTTCTCCTGCGACTATTTATACGCAACGGTATGACCGATCCGCGTCTCGATTGGTATGCGACTGACAAAAAGCACGTCTCCATCCAATTGTTCTCCAATTATGTTGGAAAGATACTTTTCGAAAGCGATTAATGACGCATGAAAATCAACGGCAATAACAAGCTCGCGCATTATTCATGAATAACGTTCATTTCTGCTTCAATTTCGTGCTTCTCGGGGAGATATTAAACAACAACCTCGTATTTATACTGAGCATCATTTTATACGGACACGGAGGAAAAACTTGATTGCCTTATGACTCGTTAGAAAGATAGAAGATACGTCACAAAATCGCGAGTCGTTAATACGCTATTCGGATACACAAAATCAACAGGACCTGTAGTGGAATTCTGTAACTCGTTATGCAATCGTTATGTGCTCATAACGACAGCCGCGCAGATATTTTATATGGTAAAAAAGCTGCGCAACTGTCGTTATGAACTCGTAACGACTGCATAACGAATTACAGAATTCCACTACTGGTCAGCCGCATTAGATAAACCGCTCGACAAACTCGACCGAATGAAAATGAACGTCTCGCACGGAGCGATGCCGTCGTTCGATGTGTCTCGTCGGTTCCTCCCTTAATTTGAGTAACGACTTCATCATCGCCGCGATAGAGTCGAAACGCGCTTCCGCGTACACCACGAGGTATTGTCAGAGCTTAATCGTGCTAACATCTGACAGCAATTCGTCACTCTGTACTATAGGTATATGCAGAAACCACAGATAAACACGCGCGTGCGCTTACCTGATGTAGTCACTCAGAGATCTTGTAGTGGAAACGCATATGTGGCTTTCGCGTTTCCCCGACGGATCGCGTTACGCCGACTTTATATACTTGTCACAGCCGAAAGACAGGGACTAATTAACTGGAAATATATAATGATATTCCCCTATCGTAATGGAAACCGTAATTGGCGATATTTCTTAACTAATAATAAATATTTATCTTTATGTGCAGATAATGTTGTGTCCAAATTTTATATCTGTTACACGTCTAAATCGTATCGTCTTTATCGTATACCGATAACCCTTAAAATTTTTCTCTCTAAAAATTAATTATAAATAAAAATTTGTTTAAGATAAAAGATATAAGAATATATATAATTTAGATTATATATATATATATATAATTTAATTTCTTGACATTCTTTTATCTTATACATATTCTTATTTATAGTAGAGTGTGTGTGTATGTTGTGTACACAAACACATACATATACACACACATATATATAGTCGATATATATGTATATAATATAAATATATATAAAATTTTATATTATACATATAATATATTATGTACTATAATATAAGATAACAGAAATCTCAAAGAAAAGAACTTTTATACGAATGCTGTAATAGTGTAATTGAAAGCAATCAAGGGATTCGTTAATTGTTAAAGTTACCAATTATGTGTTCAGTACATTGAAATTTTCCTTTGATGTCCAAGCTCGATATTTAATAACAAAGCTATTTAAGTGCGATGCGTTAACAATCTTAATCAATTTTGATTGAACCTGCAGTATCATTTAAAGAAGTGATCTCTTAATTCGACATTCGAAACGCTCTGTACATACATTATCTTTTTAAAAAAGGTAAAAAAAGGCGTTAAGAATACGTACTTCTCGAATAAAACCTAGTATCCAACCCAATTAATAGTAATTTTAATTTTTCTTCAAGGATATTCTTATCGAAGGTCTTTTTATTCCAACCCAAGTAATGGCAGCTTTAATTCTTTGTCAAAAATTATTACTTCTCGAAAAAAACTAATTTATCAAATAGAAAATTAAAACCCAGATGCTACAATCTTAACTAATCAAGTTAAATTCTATCAAATTAAAAAGTAAAACCCAAGTGGTATTATCTTTGTTATTTACTTAATTCAAATGATATGTATCATTCGTATAAAAAATTGGCGCCAAAACTAGCGCAAAATTAAATTCCACAAAATTTTATGTATCATTCGTAAAAAAAATTTGATATCAACTGGCGCCAAGTCCTATACCAAATTAAATAAAGAATACAATCCATAATTGCGTTATCTTGTCCATTCAAATGTTACCACGAAAGGTTAAAGAAGTAAACACTTGGCGCTGCTAGATCAAATAATAAAAACTATAAAAGCAATTAAAAAATTATAATAATAGTTAAAAAATAAATATAAAAGATAATTACAATTTTAAGATAATTCGAGACGCTTTGTATACATATATAGGACCAAAAAAATATAAAATGATAAAAATATATAAATAATGAGGAAAAGAATTAGAAAAAACTAGTGCTACAATAATATTAATCAATGAACTATAATTGAACGGCCGGGTCCTGTCTGGTCTTGCAAGACAAGAAAAACGAAACGATTTATCACTTAAATAAATGCGCTCCCATGTGCGCGCATTAAAGTACATCCGCAATTTTGATTAATAGATGTTTTCTAAAAATTGCTACCAAATTTATCGAAGAGCATCTCAGAGCATGTACATATTGAAATTCATTCGGAAATTCAATTTCCGCGAAACCTCGATCTTTCCTTAGTATAGTGAGGGATAGGAAAAGATATAATCACCTCCCCTTTTTTTTTTTTTTTTTTTTTTTTGGCGAGAACGCCGAATGTAATATTTCTGTGAGCGCGGATACAGCGCGTTGTTAATAATGCATCCATTACAGTTTCGTCACATGGTCGCACAATTTGTTCATTCATTTTGTTAGTATTATTCTTGAATAATTTAACACGTCTACCAAATACTAATCAACTCATAGTTGGCGATCTATAGATAGATTCTAACTGTTCGCCGATTTGATTATTTTTAGGAGAAAATAAGAATTTTATTCTGAATTTTTTAATGAAGAATATAAATATAATTAAAAAACATATTAAAATAACATACTGGTATAAAAATAACTTTGGAAACGAAGTTGTCTAATTGATAATCAACGTGTTAAAAAAATTGTACTATTATAATTAAAAGAAAGATGTTATAGATTTCTTTGGAGAAGTCGTGAGAAGTAAGAGTTCTCGCACAACTCTTTTCTGTAATGACATGTAAATCTGGAAACTAACGGAACTCACCCTGTGAACCTTCGAATTCCTCTTCGAGGAAGGGATGTTGCTCATCTATTCTCGTAGTGGATTCCTCGCGCCAGTAGCGTGGGAACTATCTCTCTCCTCGCTTGTGATAGTCCTCTGTAAATTTTCGCAAAGTAACGTTTCCGCGACTGCAGCAATGAAGCCTTCGGGCAGGATCAAATATTCTCTTGAATTTTGCTATCGTCTGTGAATACCGTCCCTGTGTACACTATCCCGTTGGATAGTGATGCTTCAGATTTTAAAGAAAGCGCGAAAGATTTTCAGATTTGCAAATATCGGTTTTCCGCGCAACGAATATCTCTGGTAACGTAATCAAGAGCGTGACAGATGCGGCATGGCGGGTGTCTCCACGACGGACATGCGGATGGGAAGAAGTATAAGATTTGGATGGACAAGGGAGACTTGAGTGGCCGAAGTAAACGAGAGGCACGTAGCCACGTTGACGTCAGCCGTGTTACTATGGCAGGAGAACTCTTGCGATATGTTCGTCGAAAGAGATCAAAACAACTAGTTTGAGGTCCCTACCACAAAGTCCTCTCCGCTCCTCTTGCCACGGCTACGTCACGATCACATCGAAGTCTCGCTTCGAGGAATCGATGTCGTCGCCGTCGTCGCCGTCGTCGCCGGAGGTGTCGGTCAGGGTAAAAGACACGCCGTCTCGTTCTGTCGGATGAAGTGGTCCGAAATGTTCTTGCAGTCGCGACGACGTCTCCGCAACAGTTGTGCGCAATTGTAATGCACAATTGCACGATTTTTATACAAGCAATGCGCGATTGTATACATATAGACAACAGGATGCTCGTTAGTGGGAGGAACGCAAACAAATTGCGATCGCTATATCTTCTCGCACGATTATGGCGTTATTCTCAAACGCGTTATCGCCAATCAAAAAGGAAACGAATGGTTTGACTCCCGCGTGAAAAAATAAAAGCGAGTGAATTGCCGGTTCTTAGGTGAGTATCTGGTACCAGCCGATTTCCGAACGATACGTTCATCATGAAACTTCGCGAAGAAACTGGACAACATAACGAGTAATGAGATATATACGATCAGTGTGCAGTAATATAGTTTTACATTTATTTCGTTTTTTTTTTACTAGGAGACAGATTAGTTTAACTTAGATATGACAGTTGCATCACTTCGGATCTATGCTTCGGAATTTAGTCGGATTTCTCCCACATTCGACAATAAGCGTGATTTTCAGCAAACCGCCTAGCAACGGAGCTCGGTGTGGTACCATTATGCAACAAAGTTCTCACCAAATTACTAATTAAACGAGATATAAAAATAATAACGTTATAAAATTAGTTACACGTGTTCCTTCCTATCACATCGAATAACCCGGAGGTCACTTCGGAGACATCGACTGACGTACCATTGATTTAATCTTGGGGTCAGACAGTATTCTCGTGCTGTTTGTAATATTAATGAGTGACCATCCTTTGCCTCTATAAACAATACAAATGATTAAGATTCGACTCTGCAGGCGCATTACGCCGTGTCTTCGCAGCCGATGATGTAGAGGACTCTTACCTTTGGTTTATTATAAAGTTTTCATGAGTAAGATATTATCCATAAAATATGCGTCTTAATACCCAGAAAGAGACGCTGGTAATATATTCCTATTTTTTAAATATTTTTAATGTTCAAAATTTCAATGATTATATCATTTTTGTATCATCATAAAAGAGCTTCTTTCGGGAAAAGTCAACATTTATACAAAATTAGTATATTTTTGTGTAGAAGTTTAACAGCTTAAAATTTCATTAGTGGATCAATGAAATTTACGACTTTAATTACGATTGAATTTAATGTAATACCTACTATTCCGAGTCACATTTTTTAAAAGAGCTTACAACGTATAATAGCAATACAGTTTTTTGAAATACACTTTTTAATGCATATGTCAAAATAAAATTTTTTTTAATTATTTTTTAAAATTATATTTCATTACGACCTTATTATTTTTACTCTATTATAAGATGATCATTTTCTATAAGAATTTATAGGAATAAAGGATAAGTCGTAGTGGAATCATAAAAATTGTAGTGAAAATGTTAAGATAATTACATTGTAATGGTACAAGTAATTTTCATTAGATCATTAATGACAAGAGCAGAGAGAAAAAGAGAGAGAATAAAGATATTAATAAGATGTGTGTAAAACAAACATATTTCTTAAACACCTCGTAATAGTAAATTAAATCGACGCACGTATACTCATGTGAAAGTATTAAGTAATCGCATGAAAAATCGATATGTAACATCGATATCAAGTCATTTTTCACGACATGCTAGTCACGCACACACCGGCAATCAATTGCGCGTCGTAATCGTCATTCGAATAGAGCTCAATAACCGATTGGAGACTCCGACGCACGCGAATTTCGCGAGGATATCACTGAAGATAATGCCAAGCCCAATCTCGGTCGCGTTGGTAGTTCAATAGACACGTAACGAACAATTGAGCTCGCTTTTACTTTGTGCGTGATCGCGCGCCGGTACGGTAAGCCACCCTCCACGTAGATGTAAGAAGCGCGCGGTTCACATACACTGAGCATTATCGAAAGTACGCAGGAAGCTATTGCCCAGGAAGCCCACAATTGTACCTCGATACCTAATAGAAAATCGGTTATCGCACGCGCGACACGCGTGATCATAACTAATCCTCGTTCTCATTCTCATCGATTGTTCGGCAATCAGTCGCCGTGAGATTCTTTTCGTCGACAGGTGTTCACAAAATCAAAATGTTTTTAAAAAACATTACATCACTAATCTAAATCTCCATAAGCATGTAAATCAAAATCCACGATTTTTTTAACATATATTGGATTTCATTCCAATGAATGTAATAAAAAAATATAAAAAATCATTATGTCACTGATCTTCATAAACATTACAATTAAATTTTTTTATTACATTAAACTCCTAATCGAACCCAATTAGATCGCAGAAAGCTTTTTGTGTGAAAGGATAAAAATTGTCATTTGGTGCTCAGATTAATAATTATGCGAATTCGATAATAACTTTTCTTAGTGAGGAATTTTTAATTGAAATAAATGAAATTCAAATTGAGACGAGTTTTGACACAATAAGAAAAAAGATGCCAATCAGGGCCCCTATTCTTGAAAAGAAACGTATACGAAAAACTAAAGGAATACTATAATGTACGTTACGTATACTGTAGAATTTCCCTAGTTTTTCGTATACGTTTCTTTTCAAGAATAGGGGCTCTGCTCTGTTTTTCAAAAATGTAAAAACCATTTAACAATTTGTCCAATTTAGAGATCATTAATTCTGTGCGAATTAAATAAGTTGATTTTTTACAAATTAGAATTAAGTAAATTTTACATTAAATTCTTCAATTACAACTAAAATCACAGAATACAAATCTCATTGATACATTAATCTTAATGTTCTCAAACTTTTTTATAAAAATCATTAATACTATATTTTACACGTAGATAATACACTGTTAAATACAAGTTTCAAATATCATAAGATCCTCTTCTTCTTTCATCGCATAATAATTCAAGAACTATCATTAGCTTTATATTTTTGATTAGAGACTAATCGTTTTAATTTTTGACCTGAAAAATCGTTCTGCCCGTTACTAAATATGATAATAAATTAAACATGATGATAATAAATTACTCATAAATTATATATATATGTATAGTTATATGTATATAGTACATAATAATCTCATACAACTCATTTATGTGACTGAAGGGTATTTCGAAATACAATGTCCAAACAAATTTTTCCAAATAAAAAGTACGATGAAAAAGGATGGGATTGCTACATAAGTTGTGAGTTTGTTCAACCATTATGTGACAAAATTATCTAATGAAATACTGTGATATATGAGAAAATCAGTGACTTCGAAGATTGATACAGACGGGAGAGACGGAGAAAAAAATTAAGACACAAATAGATTAGTTGACCCAAAATGGCAAAGTCGGCTCATTGACCTATTGTATCTGTCTAAATTTAAATCAGTTACATGTTTTTACTTTAGTTTTAATTTCTTCGGCACGAACTGCCATACAATGTTTTCTATCTTTATTTATAAGTTTACTTTATAATTTTGTTTCTTTTCTCTCTTTTCTCTTCTTTAATCATATTTGTAGTTTTATATATTGTATTGTATATTAAATATTTAATATATAATATAAAATAAAACGTACATCTTCTCTGTGAGTAATGTGAGTAAAAAGAATCGAGAATATAAAATGCGTTTGTAAGTTAGAATAAAAATGTAATCGTGTTTCTGACAATAAAAAAATGAGGAAAATTTATCGCTTTTTTAATTTAAAACACACACTATGAAATAAATAACAGAAATTTTAAATATAACAGATGAAATATTGGACCGAAATATAGAATTTACATGCAGGATTGTCGCGGCCAAGAAATAACTTTGCGCCTGTAAATAATTATCTTGCAATTTAATATATACACGAACGTATATATGGTGACCTCCCCATAGGCGCACGCAAAAAATTAAGTAGAATTCCTGTACTTTATCATTGTGTGTTCAAGATATATTTAATTTTTAATTAACATATATGTAAAAATTATAATCTAACATAGTCACATGACATCAATTTTGTTCAAAATTAAACATCACGTTTACAAGATCCAAATTGTCTCCAAATTGAACGTAAATAATATTATTCTCGTTTATACTCTTATCATATCTAACCTGAATAGATAAACGATCGAAAATATCCGTATTTATTATTTGCTTACACAGATAACGTTTCCAGTGATATATTCAAATATATTTTAGGTTTAGATTTAGTCGTGTATTTATGAATTTATATTTCTTGCTTGGTCATTTAATTCTATGCTCCTTTTATTTACAGTCATATAATGAGAATATAAATATGAAAGAATAAAGTGAAAAAAATAAAATAATAATAAGTATAATAATAAAAGTATAATAATAAAAGTGTGATAAGAAATGAATAGCGCGCGCGAATATATTTTTTTAAGAGAGTACAGTTTACTATAATTATTCTTAAAGATAAAAGATAGTAAAAATAATCTGCGTATTAATTTACAGTTCCTAATGAAACTCTCCCTTAACGTTGCTATGCATTTAAAATCGCGGCCGTTTTCCGTTTTCACATGTCATATTTGATCGATAAACACATGAGCAACACTTCGCTATGCAAGTACACGTGCGAGCAATTAATGCCATACTCCGCTGTTCTAGACGGCAAATGTTTACGACGCGGAGTCGCGCGGTGGCTACAATTAATTCGAGTCGAATTAAAGCTGTAAAGAGTACATACCTGGCAGCGAACCAAGATGTTATACTGCAAACGTATACACACGCGACGAAGTTATCCGGATTTTCATCCGACGAGCAGACCGGTGGACAACGGCCTCATTTGCCGGAGTTACCTTTTCTCCTCTCCGCCAAACTGCTTCAACAATGCCCAACACCCGGCAGTAATAGCGCAATAATGCCGTAGCTAAACCGTACGGTATAAAAAGAAACCGAGTCAACAGAGCCGGCTTGGCTCACAGTCAAATAGCACTCTCGCGTTGTACTCCTGAATATCCACCGGACTTCATCCCCGTTGACGACGACGAACTTTTTAATCTCAGACGAAGTACGCTCGTTTCTCTCGATCGTAAAGCAGGAAGAATAAGTTGATTTACACGCGTTATTTCATTGATCTCGAATCTTGTAGATG